TTTTTGTTAAATAAATTTTACATTTATTTCAAAAAGAAAAAGAAAATAGTAATATGAGCATTTTAAGTTCTGTGAAAGTAATTATTTGTTACTTATGGGTTGTTTTTGTTCTAGGCATGTCTGGATTGTGGATTTTTCTACGTCGTAAACCACGGTATAAGTGAGGAGTTGAAAGAAGAGGCTTTCGAGCAGAGCAAGAGGTTCTTCACTCTTCCGTTGGAAGAGAAAATGAAAGTTTTGAGAAACGAAAAGTATCGAGGCTATGCACCATTCCATGATTCTCTCTTAGATCCTAAAAACCAAGTTCGAGGTTCGTCTTTTTTTCAGCTTTCATATGCACTTGCTTATACTAAACTTATTGATTATGTATATTTCAGCTCTTGTTGTAACTTATATGTATTTCTAGGGGATTACAAAGAGGGTTTTACCATTGGAATGGAAGGTTCCAAAGTTGGTCTGCATGAGGATAAGCCATTCCATGGCCCCAACATTTGGCCTAACCCTGGTTCGTTTTTTTTTTTTTGCCGTATCCTTTGTTTGTTAGTTTTAATGCTTTCTTCTTTAAATTAACTTTTGTTTTATTTTTTTTTTTTTTGGGTAGATGTTTTGCCTGGATGGCAAGAGACCATGGAGAAATATTATCAAGAAGCATTGTAAGTTCTGTTTGTTTTTTTTTTTTTTTTAATTAGAGAAATTAGCTGGGAAAACTTTGTTATTGCCCAATGGCTTAATTGAATAATTTAAATCTTTTAGATCAATTGAAAATTAGGTGAAAATATTTGTTTAATGCCCAATGACTATTTTTTATTTTATTTTCCAACGAATGTGACATTTCTCGCCTACATATAAACAAAGAATAATCCATGTTTATATAATTTTGTAAGCGACTTCAGATGCTTTTGGTCAAATCTTAAGATTATAAAGAAACTTGTCATGTGGGCAGTATCGTACGTTAGTTTAAAACCTTAATTTGTCATTACTATCTTTTATGTCTATCCAGGCTTTTTTGGTCGCGTTGTCTTTAACTTATACAATTGAATAAACATGTTATATTGATTAATAATTGCTTTTGATTCCTCGTAAATATGTGTATTATGGGGCTTGTCACGTTGTGTGTGCAAGGTTAAAAAACTTAAGTCATGAAAATAATCAAAATAATATTCGGAATGATCAGGAGGGTTTGCAAGTCTATCGCAAGAATAATGGCTTTGGCGCTCGACTTGGATGAGCATTACTTTGATACACCGGAGATGCTTCGAAACCCAATAGCTGATATGGTCTTGTTTCACTACGAAGGTGATGCATTTTCTTAATATCACATTAATAGCTCCAGTATATATGTCAATAATGCTATTATGCTATTACTCATCTTCAATAATTTTTCACATCTTTTATAATTACTTTTTTTAGGCATGTCTGATCCGTCGAAAGGAATATATGCATGTGGAGCACATTCTGATTTCGGAATGATGTCTCTCTTAGCAACTGATGGTGTAATGGGACTTCAGGTATTGAACAAAAGTTTCCTAACTAGTCTCATATATATAACTTCTGATGCTACTTGGTTAATTAGTTTTGGAACTTGCTACTATCTAATTTACAGATATGCAAAGATAAAGACGCGAAGCCTCAAAAGTGGGAATATATACCGTCGATTAAAGGGTATTATAACATGATAATTTTGTGTATTTTGGTTTTATGATACCTTTATAATACTAGCTAAACTAAACTCCCATAACATATTTGTGTTTATTGCGTTACATTGTTCTTTTTTGATAAAGTTATATGGTTTTTTTTTTATAATCTACGTACAGAGCTTACATTGTGAATCTTGGTGACCTGCTTGAGCGCTGGAGCAACGGCTATTTTAAGTAAAGCTTTTGTGTGGTTTGATTTTAATTTTCTTAAGGCTTCATACATTTTTTTGACTCATAACTTTTTATATATATATATCATACAGATCTACATTGCATCGGGTACTTGGGAACGGGCAGGACCGATACTCTGTAAGTCTCTTGTTAAAGTTGAAGATTTTTTCAAGCACATCCGAGAAGTGACGTTGATATCATTTTCTTATTCGCAGATTCCATTCTTCCTGAAACCGAGCCACGACTGTATAATAGAGTGTCTTCCTACATGCCAGAACGAGAACAACCTTCCCAAGTAACTCTTGATTCTTGAACATGTTCACCTTGTTACGTACATTATTAAGACCTTTGATCATGTTCTTAAAAGATGTTTATGGTTTTGTTTACTGATGAATAGATATCCAGCTATCAAATGTTCAACGTGTAGGAGCGCAAAAATCGAATCGAGAAAAATACGAATTTTATTAATGAGAACGATATCATAAAGACATTACAACAACATAATTTAAAAGCATAAATTTAAATCTCGGAGGCAAGATATGATATCTTTGTCCTTAATTCAATAAATCGGCCGTAAGTGCTTCGGTCTATCACGATTTATGAATCCCAGGATACAACCGGTTGCGAACTATTACTCGAGCACACGAGTAATAGACTCAAACGAACTAGATCTACTATATACTCTCGAAACTATAAAACTAAGAACTTACTTGAAATAAGCAAGAGAGAAGAGAGGTTTAGAACTGAAAGGTTTAGATGCTTTTCTGTTTTTGCGTGTGTAAAATAATGAGAGCCTCCTCCCCTTTATATAGTAGTAGGAGTAGAAT